AGGATTTACTAAACCAAAGCTAAACTCACTGCCTTCAAGTTGACTCCAACCCTGAACAACCCGATAGGACAGGGTGGAATGGCCCCTGTGGAGTCCCAAGAAGATCGCTCTCTGTAGGAGTAGAAAGCCTCATCTTTCTCTCAAGAAGTTACTAAAAATGTGTTTAATGCCTTACAGTCAGTAAAATATGCAGTAGTTTCAGGAAGAAAAATAGAGACAATCCATATGGCATGATCTTATTTTTTGTTATATGAAACCATGGTATTGAGACACTTAAAATACCATGTGTAGTTTTGATTTTTTTCTAATCGAGTGTTTGATGAATTGTGAAAATGCCTAGATAAGCCCCATCTGAAATGAAGGATGGATTGTATAGCCTTTGCATGTTTTATAGACCAGTGTTTCTAAATCCTAGTTGTTATGTTTTCCTGTTAAGAAGTTACAATTTCCGTTAGTGTGTTTAATTCGCTTGAAACAGCCTGTTTAATACAACATATACCAAGCTTATTTGATTCTGGAGTGGTTTATTCATAGGACATCTGTTAATATTTTTCAGGATTCCTGAGTGCTTTGGGGGGGAGAATTGGTTTTAACTAATCATCTTTTGGTCTCTAAAAAATTAAGGACTACAAAATTAGCTTTTAAAAGTCAATAGGGTAGAAAGCAAATAAAACACATAGAAGATTTGTATAGATTGGAAATAGAAGTATATTTACAGATGTTTATTCTCAAAAAGACGAGCCTTGGTGGCACAGTGGATGATGCATTGGGCTGTTCACCGCAAGGTCTTCAGTTCTAAACCACCAGCTGCTCCCCAAGGGAAAAGGCAAGGCTCTGTACTCCTTGAAAGAGTTACCGTCTCAGAAACCCACCGGAGCAATTCTACCCATGCTTGTAGGGTCGCTATGAGCCAACACCAACTTGATGGCAGCAAGATTCTCAGAAAAGAGCATTTTCAAAGATTGTTAGAAACCTTTAGGCTGTATCTATTTTTTTATGTTTGAGATAATTATGCAATAAATGTCCACTCAAGGATGCTACTAGGTAACCAACCCATAGAGCGATTTTGTGTGAGTTTTAAAAAGAACATCGTTTCCTCTGAATGTGTTAATCCATGGTAGGCTGCCTAGTTTATAGGAGCTGACCTGTTTTTCTTGTGGACTAAATAATACTTAATGTAAAACAATATAAACCATGCTTCGTGCTTTCCAAGTTTAAGTTTACAGGGGATCTGTACAAACTATCACATTTGTATCAAGGTAAATAACCTTTTATAGAAGCAATGAACTAAAATTATCCTCAAAAATTGTTTTCATGGATAAAAAACTATTTACAAATTTAAGCAAGTGATAGGATGGTCCTCACAAAATAAAATCAATGCCTAGTCCTTCAGAATGATCAATATTGGGAGTAATTCGAGGTAAACTGGTTTGGAAATTTGGTTTGCATTTGCCTTAAAATTTGAATACACTTTAATGGAAATACGCCTCAAAGGATGTTTTCCTCTCCATGTGCAGAATATGCACAGTACATGTACACATACTATTAAATGTGACATAATCGGTAATAAAAATAAATATACATACTAGGGTCCAGAAAGAATGTGTTGGATTTCTGACTTCTGGTTGTTGTTGTGGTTTTTAATCTAAAAATTAGTCCTCATCCAAAAAATGACCTAAATTCCCTTAGTATGTAGCTCTGACTTTAAAAAAAATTTTTTTTTTTTACTTTATCGCATACTGACTTTTTCCAAGCAGGAATTTTCAGATATTTGATACAAACTTAAGCTTTAAAAGTAGGTACTAATCTATCACTGCTCTCATATGCTACACAATTCAGAAGTTTTGTCAAACTGGGCAATTTTCCACCAGCATTTAATGTTGTCACGTGTTCCCTTGGCGTTACCACAGTTGGATTCGTTAAAACCGACTGCTGTGGAGTCCATTCTGATTCTCAGTGACCCTAAAAGACAGAGTAGACCTGCGTAAAGGGTTTGCTGGGCTGGTTAGTTCAAACCATCGATCTTTTGGTTTCTAGCTAGTGCTTAACCACTGGACCA